GGGGGGGGGCGCCGGGCCCTGCCAATCTGCTGTGGCAGCCCGAGAGCCCCACGCGGGCGCCGTTCCTCCACCAGACTGCGCTGGGCAATGCCCTCTAATTCCCATGAAAGGGAGGGTAGTTGGATTTTATGAGCTACTCAGCTCTGGTTCAGAGCACATCTGATACCGGCCGGGGGCCCGGTGCCCCGGGAGCTGCCACCTGACATGACCCAGGGCCTGGCGCTCCGGCCACTCGCGTCGGGCTCTGGCTCAAAGCGCGCGGGCGTTTGCGGCGCCCGGCTCGGCCCCGTGCCCAGGGTGCCGACGGGAGGCAGCCGCAGGGCATGGGTCGTGCTGTGCGCGCTCGTGTGGGGCTCCAAAACCTGCACCCCCTTCTTGTCCTGGTGTCGGAGGCCGGGCAGGCTCATCGCACCCGTGTGCTCTGCGGCGCTGCCTGGCCGAGGCTCCTGGACAGGCTCCCCCTGCCCCTGGCTCTGCAGGCAGCAGCTTCCCGGGGCCCTGGCACTGCTGGGGATGCGCAGTCACCTCTTTCTGCTGTTAAACTGTTGGCTTTACAAAGCCGGTCAGTGCTGCTTTCACTTGTCCTTAATCACTTCTTAGCAGTTCCTTCCCTGGGGACATTAAGGAATTGGAAGATGAGCCGGTGCGCCAATCGGAAATGGATCAATTCAGCAAATCAAATAAATTCAGCAAAACCAGGCGGCTGTGGCCTGCAGCTCAGAGCCCTGTGGTCTTGCCGGATCACTCTGAGAGCCCCCTCTCCCCACCACACGCAGACACTTGTTAAAAATAACAATTTCTTCCTTCATGGAAACCTGTGAAGGGGCCCAGGAAACCTCTGCCACACACGGGCATGCCCTCATTAGGTTAAGCCATAATTAATTTCCCTTGCACGTGCACTCCAAGACGATGCACACACACACACAGCGCCCTGAATTAAACAGAGCTGCTCAGAAGGTGGGTTAATGCACATGTGCCATCCCCTCTTACACAAATGCATGCAACAGACTGCAACCTCCTACAGAGACATCACAGGCAGGGTATTTTTAAGGAGCAGAGATGCAGACGAGGCCTGCAGCCTGGTCATTCACGGTACACACAGCTCTAAACAATCAATTATCAGCTGTGTGGAGGTGTAAGAGGCACAGTAAGATTGCACACACATACACATGTCTGTACTGACTTGAATGGACCTACCAAGAAACTCCAAACCTACCAGAACCTTCTCAACAGAAGCAGGAGGGGAGGGGGATTTTTCTGCTCCTCCTTACAGGACACCAAGCCCACGAGAAGGGATCTGTTTTGCCTGGGCTGGTCCTGCCGGGGCCATCCAGCACCACCCAAGCAAGAGAAGTCATGTCCAGGGCAGCGAGATCCCTCCAAAACACAGGCCAGAGGATGGACACGTTTCCACCCAGCAGGGCTTGGACACACACACACGTCCCCGTGTGCGACGGCACCGCACAGGCACCGCCACCGCTGCCAGCAACCATCCTCTCACATGCACACACATTAACCGAGGGATTTTATTGCATCCCCCACTCGGGATAGACGTGATTAATCACAGTGGTAAACTACACAGGGCACCATTTTCATCTGCCCAACAGATGTGTATTTACTACTTTTTAATCACGATTAAAGGAACACAAAAACTCCTATGACACATGACTTCAGTTGTGCTGTAGAAAAACAGCAAAGTGTGTTTTACATCTGCAGCTTTATTATAGTACAAAAGGTTAAAGGCAAAGCTATAAAATGAACCTATTTGTACATGCTCACTGAATGCTTTTAAGACAAGATACGGCAGAAAAGCTTTTACTGCTAAGAAGAACCAATGGAAGGCTTTAAGGTTCATCTAGCATTCAATTTTTGTTTGTAGGTAACCCAATTTAAAGCAGCTTTGTCAGTCTTTAAAACCCTTTTGCCTATCTGGAATGCTTCAAAAGGAAGATGACCTGAGGACAATGTCTGCTCTGGAGACAGCCCAGACGGATGCTCTGCATGAGGTACAGAAATGGGCCACCAAGGAATGCTAAAAGGGAACCCCAGGCGCCTCCCCGTGACCTCCTGCAGGCCGTTGGGTAACGGAGCGTTGCGCGGCGCCCCAGCACCCTCGGCAAAGCAGCGCCCTCCCGAAAGCCCCCAGCTCCCCCAGCGCTCTGCGTGCAGCCCCCCGGCCTGGGGGGACACTCGATGCTGGCAAGAGGCTGTCACGGAGATGGGCACCAAGGACTTGCCCAAAGTCACTGGGTGAGGCAGTGACAGTTAGGGATGGAGCTCACGCAGGTCGAACGCACACAGCTCTAGCCACTGAACTGCACTTACTCCTGGAGCGATGAGGCTACAGGTAGGGGGATAGTGAACACTCCTAGGGGCTTGAGGGATCAGGAATCCCTTTGGGATGCAGATCCCCAGGGATGCAATGGATCAGCATGGCCACCCTTCCGGAAGGTCTCTGCTGCAGGCACTGTGGTTCTGCCCGGCTCTTGCACGGCTCTGCAGGACCCACGGCAGCCCCCGGCACAGGCAGGTCTGCTGCGAGGGCAGGCAGGTGCCCTAGTCATCAGGGATTGGAGTGTTGCAGTTCCCGTGGTAAATCTTGACCTCACCCTCACACTGGAAATACTGGTCAAACACATCGCTGTAGCCATGGTCCTTCCACCACGTGCAAAGCTGCCGGTTCCACGTGCAGTCAAGCACGTGGAAGAGTTCTGGGTGCTCCATCCCAATCATGGTGAAGAAATCCTGGTCCCCAAGGTGGCCCTTGAAGTGGTACTTCTCTGTGAGCTTCTGCACCGCGGCGGGCTCCAGGAGCTGGTTGTAGAGCTTGGACTGCCGCATGGCTTCCAAGTTGAGGAGCAGGACGCCGCTGTTGAAGCCAGGCAGCCCGTCCGGAGGCGGCTCCCCCACCTTGGTGTGGGGGTTCTCGCGGCGGTACTGCCAGAACGTGTGCCTGCAGGAGGAAACACAGCAACACCGGCGTCAGCCACCGCAGCCGCGCTCTGAGCAGAGCTGGAAACTACTGCCTGATGCACTCTGTGCACCTCCGAGAACCCCCAGAAACCAGAACCTCACGCTGGGACTCGTGCGTTTGGCACGAGCAGGAAGACAAGGCAGGTACAAAACCGATGTACGGGAGCTGCTTTGACAGCGGGCACGGCTGGGCCGTACGGCCGCATTGTGCAGCCAGAGCCCCTCGGCCAGGGCCGTCTGCGTCGCGTGGGAAGGAGGTGTCTTCCCTGCTCTGAAACCCGCAGCTGACAGGAGGCTTTTCATCCCCCCGCCATTACTCCATAGCCAGGTACCTTGCCTGCTAGAGGTGTATCATCTCCTGCTGTGGCCTGGTGCTCCACAGGCTGCTCTTTCTCTGTCTCCTTGCACAGGATATCGTCCAGACCTCAAACCATCCTCTCTGCCCTCTTCTAAAGCCTGTTTTGTTTCTGCCAACATCGTTCTGACGAGTAAACGGTGCGCAGGACCCTGTGACTGCTCACATGCCTGTGCAGAGGGATGAAACCACATCCCTTGCTCCTAGCTCCAGTGAGGAGAGGTGCTCCTCAGCCAACAGGGAAAGGGTCCCCACGGCCCTTTGCAGAGCCGCTGCCTTGCAGGACATGCGCTCAGAGGCAGGGCAGGGACGAGCTCGCTGCGGCTGCCAGGAAGAGCTTTCTGTTGGGCTGAAGTTTGCACTGTTTCAGTGAGCCTTACAAAGTAGGTCAGGTCTGTCCACGGGACAGACCCATCCCTCTGTGTGCAGCCTGCAAATGCTATTGGCATTTTGTGTTTCTCCCCACATTACTGGTAAAAATATTGAGCAACAGTGGGCTGAACAGAATAAGGAAAAAAAAAAAAGTCTATTGCATCAAGAAGGCTGTTTTTAACCATTAAATCTGTGATCTGGTTAGAGTCCTTATGACGAGGCCTGCTCTCCTTGGAGCGCTTGCTGACTCACACTGTCCCTGCAGCCCCAGGGCAGCCGCATCGGGCCCTGTGACATTCCTGGTCAGTTAATGGCCATGGCTCCACGCACCCACCCAAGGATTTCCAAGTGCTTCCCAGATGTCAAAGCAGACCTGGATCCTCAGCATTATCTCTGCACTGAAACCAACAGATGGAAAATGTCAGGGACAGAGTTAAGTTGCTCTTAGAAGCAAATGCGAAGCCAAGGGTTTTCGGTGCCCATTAGATACGGACACAATATGCATCTTCCAAATTCTCTGGCCTAAATCCTAAAGATTAATTTTCCAACAACAGTCTTCCTTATCTTTGTTGACCACCTCGGACCCTTGGAGGGAGCCCATAAACAGGCTGAAAGCCTGTAGGACAAGCTAACAGAAAGGAAAACAGTATAGAGCCACGTTTTGCTCGCAGTGCCTGCTGCCTCCATGCGGCCTCAGGCAAGGACGCTGCCCCAGGGGAGACCCATGCTAAGGTCCTGGAATCTCTCCTGTGCATTTAAGATGACAAGAAGTCATTAAAAGGGACTCTTCATCTCCAACAGGAACTGGAGCTACAGGAGCGCCCTCCAGAACAAGCTAAATCCCCTCCTGTGCCTGCAGGACTGCAGGTGTCCCCAGCTCCGGGCGCTGGATGTCCGGGGACACCGCGCGGCCCTTCAGTGTGGGGCACCGTAGCTGTGGGGCTGCTCTCGGGAGCCTCGCGCTGACCGGCCCTGCTGCTCTGCGCCGTTATCAACCTCGTGCAGCAGCTCCAGGGCACAGCAGCCAGGAAAACGCGCTTGGAAAATCGCTCGTGGCGAAGGGGATCTCTGCAGCAGAGCGCGCGGCGTCACTGTTGCTATTCCATTGCAGGGGAGCTCCAGCTCAGACATGGGCCCCTGTTCAAGGCTGTGCAAAAAAGAAGCCTTGAAATAAATCCCTAAGATCAGCTGAAATATTTTTGAAAAATAGTGAAAAAAAAAAAAAAAAAAAGGAATCCAATGGCAACATTTCATGAGCTAAATAAGCACTGACTTCAGCATTTGCAGCCCTAGGAAAGCTTAGACGTAGCAGCTCTGGCAGGCACGATCCTGACTAGCCAACTTCCATCTGCCAAACAGAACAAAATGGTGCAAGTCCAGGAATACAAAAAAGCCTTAAGGTGGTTCCAATGGGAGAGATTTATGCTACCTAAGTAAGCAGCACAGCAAGGTCTTTGGCTCCATACCTCACCCAGCAGCAGCGAGCAGAGCACACCACACCATACCCACACCAGCTGCTCCCACTTGCAAAATTCCCCCCATGCTCTTAACCAGGAGCTCCAGCTGGGTTGAATCCACCTCCAGACATCCCTTCCATTCGACAAAGAGCCTTCTGCCCCCCAGCAGCACGCTCTGCAGCAGGGCAGGCAGCCGAGAGCGCGCAGAGCCTGCAGCGCAGACCCCAGCCGCTGCCCCGACCTCGCAGGGGCTCCGGGCTGCCCGTCCTGCTCTCCCATGCCAGCCTGAACACTCGCTCCAGGCAAAGCTCTGCCCTTCCTTTGCGCCTCGCTGGGAAGGAGTCGGGGGAGAAAATGCCTTGGTTGAAAAGAATAAGCCAGGCACGTCCCTGGTTCCTGTCTGAGCTCATCAGACACTGATCAAAGTCTCTATACGTTTACACAGGAAACAGGTTTGTTGGTGGATGTCTCGGCTTTAACATACCAAGTTTGAATATGGTCCGATATTTGGATGGTGAAGTTGGAGGATTTGGACATAAAAGATGTAAAATGAGCCACTGGAACAATCTAGAGTCATGGTGGATACCGCCCCGCTGGAAACGTTTACATTAAAACTTTTCTTCTAAAAAGCTGTGTTCAATTCTGCCAGGCACTAGCTCAGGGGACCCTACAGCTTGCGCAGAGATGAGGCAATTAAATCCAACCCTTTGGTCTTTCCTCTGAATCCCCTGGGCCTTGAGCCCTGCACAGGCGAGTCCCAAGAGGGCTGCAGGACTGCATGCAAGAGCAGGGCTGAGGATCCGTCACCAGGAGAATTTCCCCAGCAGAAAACGGGGATCTATCAGAAGTGCCAGCTGGGAATACGCTTCTTATTTCCTGATGAGGAGAGGCACAACCATAGCCTAGTTTCAATTCCCTATCATTTTCCATTTAGATTGTTTGCATTTAAAACCCTGAAATTTCTCATTTCATTATGGGATTTTTTTACTTTTCCCTTTTGTGTCTTTCAGGATGCAAAGGGATTTTGATGAGTCAATTTCCCCTGGAAGTAAGGCCCAACTTGCACAGCTGTCTCCAGGCCTCCCGGAGAAGGAAGGAGGGGGTCCCTGTCACGGGTTCCCCACCACCCAGAGCCCGAGGGCAGCAGCGGCCACTTGACCCAATGCGGGGAAGCGAGACACGGGCTCCGCCAGCACCAGGAGCACCCGTGTCTCCGGGACAGGCACCGCGGACGGTCGCGGTGCCCGCAGGAAGCGGGTGCCCATGCACAGGGGCTGCGTCCAGGAGCCGGTGCAGAGCAGGGACCAGCTCCAGCCCATCCCACTCCCCATCCCTCCCTGCTCCCTCCCTGTATTTCTAGCAGTGCTGGAAAGCAGCCCTCATGCTCCAAAAATGATGATGAGTCTGGCAGACGGGTGACGGTGAGAGCAGAGGGAGGTGGCTGCTCCAGAGCCGTGAAACTGATTGTTTGCTTCACATTCCCATTCCCCAAAACACAGGCTGCCCAAGCTGCTGCCAGGGACTGAATTACAGCCCCTGCTATCGCAGGAGAAACGACACCGCCCCAGCCCTCGGCCAGCACTAAAGCAGGTCCGTATGGAAGGAGTCGATGGGCTTTGGAGGAACCAGGGAGAGCAGAGCTGGGCCAAACGCTCCCCGTGCGGAAGCAGCAGTGCAAGAGTTTCCTCTAGGAGACAAGGCCCAGGGAAAGCATCAAGCAGACAGAAGGGAATCCCAGTCTGCACCTCCCCTCTGCTCCGTTCCTTCTGAAATCTCCCCTTTGCTCCTGATTCAAGTTTTGGCAAAAAGTGGTAGTAAACTCCCTGGGGGTTGGAGAGGCTCCACACAAGCCACCAGGATGTAAGGAAGCAGCTGCCAGGAGCAATAGGGACACAAAGCGCATGAGAGGCAACAGCTTTCCAGAAAGGAACCAAACCCCTGATTTGACCCCATGGAAACATCTCCCAGACCCAAGAAGGTCCTGCAAGGACACCTGAGAGCAGCTCTGCTGCAGACTGGTCCCAGGTCAAGACAGTCCCTCACAGGACATGGTCAAGGCAGCGCCTGTGCTGCTGGCAAACACCTCTGGGTGGCAAAAACAGTTACCTTCTACTGTCCCCAGCGATGTCACTGACATCTATGATCAACCCACTGACTGTTGTGGGGACAACCTGCTATTTTTCTTCTGTAACCAAACTGCCAAGTGCACAATTTTAGACTGTGCTCTCTATAATGTTCTCTGTGGGGAACGAAGCTGCAGGTGCTTTTCAATGGGGAAAACAGACATGGAAACATCGGGCAGTTCTGGAAAATCTGCAGCCAGCAGGTGCTCCACAACAATGGGACAAGCTGTGCAAAACACATGGTCCTCCCAAACCTCAGGCAAAGCAGAAATCAGTGAATCACAGACTCCACATGATTTGGTGAAGCACGGCCCGGGTTTGCCAGCCCAGCACCGAGCTCGAAGGGCCGCTCCGAAGCTCCCGGGCTCGTGCGGACCGGGGCCGCAGCGGCCACTGCTTCGTGCAGCGGCGCATCCCGAGCCGCAGGGATGGGAGCGGGAAGAGCCGCCCCTGCTCACCCGGCAGTGAAAGGCCTCCAGCAAAGGCAGGAAGGCGGCCCGGAGATCCCTGCTATCGCAAGGATGAAAAGCTGCTGGAAAGGAAACTGCTGCCTGGGAGGAGGGCAGGAGAAAGGAAGGGAAGACACGTTGGACCCGCGCTAAGCAGCAGGCTGACCACAGGCCCCCTTTAAAGAAGGGGAAAAACCGTCCCCAAACGCGACCCAGGCCCACAG